GTATTGGTGTTCGATGCTTAATATTCGATGCTCATTGGTCCATACGATCTTATGCTATGCATATGCAGTTATGTCAATTTGTGTGCGATAGTCCTTATGATTGGCTAGTAGAGACTTATGACATCATTAATCGCTCTCGGAGCGATTAACGTAGGGCCAGCGAACACGCTATTAGTTTCGAAGTATCCGCTATGAGTCGCTACTATTTCCATCGACCATAGATGTATGATACGTTGAAGTAACGATAGATAGCAGTATTAATGTCGCTGAACAAGATGGCTGAAGGCTGAGTTCCCTTTTTTACTTCGGCTTCACTTTCCTGACTTTTCTCGCCCACAAACTAAGCTTTCGCACTGTCAATCAAGTCTGTGATGCAAACGTATTTTCTTGTTGAAAAAATACTGAATTAATGCAATAATTAGAAATAAATTATGGCAAATGCTATCGAAAATTTATTTGATGCTTTTGATGAGCAAGATGATGAATCGGAAATTATTCATTTACCCAAAAAGTCGGACCTTTCATTAAAGTAAGTACACAATACTAAACATAACCATGGATGACCCACGTGGCCACGCGTGGACAAATTGCATAAAATTTTAACTGAGCTCGTACTGGAGTGGAACCTTGTTCCGTTTCCGTTCATTCTAGATTATATACTTTTTATAGCGTAAGGATAAAAAATATAATCTAGTTCTTTTCTAAAAAAAAAAGACTTAATATAACTTATTCAGTTGTTGTAATTTTGTAATCTTTCAAATGCTATTGACTATATATTTGAATATTTATTTGAAATAAATTTGTAGTAAAGATGAATTAGAAGTAGGTGTAAAGCGTCAACATGATGAGGACGATGAGAAGACACTGGTTAAGAAAATACGACATGATCCTATTCTGGATGACATCAAGTAAGATTTTATTTATATCAACTACATTTGGTTATATCTACTTAATTGATATGATATAATTGAAATATTTTATCAATTTATAATATTCAAGCAATTAAATAAAATATATTTTTAGTTTAGAAGAAATAGCATGTCGTATAAAAGTGCATACTATAGAGTCTATAGAATCCTGTACACATGAGGTTGCTATCCCTCCTGAACAGGAACTCATACCTCTGGAACATAAGGAAGGCAAGCCAGCAAAAGAGTACAAATTTATACTAGATCCATTTCAAAAGGAAGCAATTTTATGCATTGAGAACAATCAGTCTGTTCTTGTTTCTGCGCATACATCAGCTGGTAAAACTGTAGTAGCTGAGTGAGTATATATTACACATTGCTTTTAGAAAATACTACTTATACAACATTTTTCTAACATTTTTCTTTTATTTTACTATCTTATATCTGATAGATATGCAATAGCATGTTCACTTAGAGATAAACAGAGAGTAATATATACTACTCCAATCAAGGCATTAAGCAATCAAAAGTACAGGGAATTTTATGAAGAATTCAAGGATGTTGGACTAGTAACAGGTGATGTTACTATAAATCCCACAGCTAGTATATTAATCATGACTACTGAAATTTTGCGTAATATGCTGTACAGAGGTTCAGAGGTATGATAATATTATCATGAATTACTAAAACGAAATATCTTTAAAAAATTGGATGTTCTATTGATAGATTCTTTAGTCAAACATGTACAAATAATATAAATAATTTAGGTAATGCGCGAAGTTGGTTGGGTGATATTTGATGAAATTCATTACATGCGTGACAAAGAAAGAGGAGTGGTGTGGGAAGAGACACTTATACTATTACCGGATAATGTACATTATGTATTTCTTTCTGCTACTATACCTAACGCACGACAGTTTGCGGAATGGGTAGTGCATCTGCACAAACAACCCTGCCATGTTGTTTATACAGACTACAGGCCGACACCATTACAACATTACATATTTCCAGTTGGAAGCGACGGTATTCATCTGGTAAGTATACTTTTTACCACTCATAAAACGAGACCTACTTCTATGCATGGGAGAAAAACTTGTATCAATTTACTTATTTGACAAAAGATAACTATATATGCTAAACTCATCTATTATAACATGTAGGTCGTGGATGAAATAGGTAACTTTAAAGAAGAAAATTTTAATAGAGCCATGACATGCTTGCAAAATATGGGCGATGCAGCTAAAGGTGACACGAAGGGACGTAAAGGTGGTCTACGCCCTTCGAATAGCGGGCAAACGAATATTTTTAAGATGGTAAAAATGATCATGGAAAGAAATTTCGCACCCGTGATAATATTCAGCTTCTCGAAGAAAGATTGCGAAGTTTATGCTATGCAAATGTCCAAATTGGATTTCAATACATTGGAAGAAAAAAAATTGGTGGACGAGGTTTTCAATAATGCCATAGACGTCCTTAGTGATGAGGATAGGAAATTACCACAAGTGGAAAACGTGTTGCCGCTTTTACGACGTGGAATAGGCATCCATCATGGTGGCCTTTTGCCGATCCTAAAAGAAACTGTCGAGATATTATTCGGCGAAGGTCTGATCAAAGCTCTCTTTGCTACCGAGACGTTCGCGATGGGTCTGAACATGCCCGCACGAACGGTTTTATTCACAACGTCTCGTAAATTTGACGGCAAAGATTTTCGTTGGATTACGTCAGGCGAATATATACAAATGGCTGGTCGCGCCGGTAGGAGAGGTCTAGATGAAAAAGGAATCGTCATATTGATGATAGACGAGCAAGTTAGCCCAGTAGTTGGTAAAGCTATCGTCAATGGAAAGCCAGATCCAATAAACTCCGCGTTTCATTTGACTTACAATATGGTTCTTAATCTTCTACGGGTCGAAGAAATTAATCCGGAGTACATGTTAGAGAGAAGCTTTTTCCAATTTCAGAATCAATCTTCTATTCCGACTTTGTATAACAGTACGTTATATATAACGCTGATTGTTAATATTTTTAACAGCTAATAACAACATTTGAAAGTTACAGTACTGTGCACTGTTCATCTTGATTATGATTTTAGGAGTAAAGGAGCTGTATGCTGCTTACAACACAGTGAATGTTGAGAAATACGATGAGATATCTTCATATCACGATATACGGGAACAACTAAATCGACTAAGCAGCGAGTTTCGATCCTATTTAACGCAACCAGAATATTTATTACCATTTTTACAACCCGGGAGACTAATACAGGTAAGTTTTACAATTTAATATGCACATTTTAACCACATCTTCCGAAACTTTTGGCATATTCATTTATTATGCGTGTTGCAGGTAAAGAATGATATTGGAACATTTGATTGGGGCATTATAGTGAATTTTAAGAAAAAAACTCCGAAAAATCCGGTAAAAGATAAGGTTAGCATCGTCATCGACGTCTTACTTCATATATCCAAAAAGTCAAAAGAAGGCAATCCAATTCCATGTCACAGTGGTGAAGAAGGTGACGTGGAAGTTATCCCAATTATGCATAATTTAATTTTGCAAATAAGTTCAATCAGACTATATTGTCCGAAAGATCTCAGGCCACTTGATAATCGAAAAAATGTATTGAAAACAATACAAGAAGTGAAAAAAAGATACCCTAAGGGTCTACCATTACTTCATCCTATTGAAAATATGAAAATACAAGATGAGGCTTTTAAAGATATTGTGAAGAAAATCGAATTGCTGGAAAAAAAACTATATGCTCATCCTTTACACAAGGTATGACAGGTGAACTATGAATCTCTCTAATATAATTACTTATTAAATACAAAGAAGATATTTATTGCATTTATAATAACAGGTTGATGTGGTAATTTTGACATCGTTTTCCTCGAAATATCGTACGATTTGTTTTGCTGTTGTATTTTCAGTAGCTTAATTTAGACGAGAAAATTAATGACGGAAGTCCCTGGTATATTTTAAACAAATCAACTATTGTTTACAGGACCCTAACATAAATGTAATATACGAGCAGTACTTGCATAAGGAAGAACTAGCCACGAACCTAAAGCAAGCCAAACAAGAATTGAAAGAGGCCAAGTCAATATTACAGATGGATGAACTCAAGTGCAGGAAGCGAGTTTTAAAGAGGATGGCATATTGCACGTCGACAGACGTTATAGAACTAAAAGGACGTGTAGCCTGCGAACTAAACGGCGCCGACGAATTGTTATTAACAGAAATGCTTTTCAATGGTCTTTTTAACGTTTTAAATGTAGCACAGATGGTTGCATTAATTAGTTGTTTTGTATGCGACGAAAAAGCGACAGAGATGCCTAAAAGTACAGAAGAACTAAGCGGTCCGCTCAGACAAATGCAGGATCTGGCTCGGAGAATAGCGAAAGTCTCCACAGAAGTCAATCTACAATTGGACGAAAATACGTATGTCGAGAAATTCAAACCGTATTTAATGGACGTTATGTACGCTTGGTGCAAAGGCGCGTCGTTTTTACAAATCTGCAAGATGACCGATATATTTGAAGGTATATTAACATATCTCGTGACTGAAATAATGATGGCAATTTATATAAAGTGTTACAAGTTCTTTACTAAAACTAAAGCTAGAGATAGCGACAAAATTCTTCTTTGGTGTTTTTATGAATTATAATAGACATAAAATATAACTCTAAAATATGATTTATACAAGTTTGAACCACCTTCCAGCGTTTTTATATATTTCATTTACATATACATGTTTCAGGATCTATTATCAGATGTATGCGTCGCTTAGAAGAAGTACTTCGGCAACTGTGCCAAGCTGCAAAAGGTATCGGAAATGTTGAACTAGAGAACAAATTCAGCGAGGCGATAAAACTTATAAAGCGAGATATTGTATTTGCTGCTTCTTTATATTTATAATGTGTAAAATAATTCTTACTACGAAGTGTGACTGTTTGTAAATAATATTGATTCCATATATTTCTTTAAATTAGATCATTGTGTTATTGTATTATTCATGTCTTGAGTGGTGATGTTCACTTTTATATATATTTATTCCCGTATACATATTCCATATATATATATATGTATATGTATGTATGTATGTATGTATGTATACAGGGTGTCCTTAGAACAATCTACGAAGTAAAATCTACGAAAAGTCCTATATCGTTTTGCGATATTCGTAATAATCACCGAGAAATTAATTACGAAAGATTAAGGAAAAGCGTGTGCTGAATGGTAGAGGACGGACAGCTCGAGTCACAGCGCAGCCCAATAATATAGTCGCGCGTGGCAATTGAAAGACAATGTACCATTGCCTATACTTATACCGCTGTACTCCTACATTTCGCCTCGACGCGGTGCGGCAAGACGTAGTCTTATAGTGGTATAGGACTTTTATATTTATTTTAACTCGCTCTACGTTCTCACGAGAGCTTCGTAGATGTTCTGAGATACCCTGTGTGTATGTGTATACATATATACCGTTTTGTGATATTCGTATATATATATATATATATATATATATATATATATATATATATATATATA